TAGATCTTTCTAGATATTTCTACTAACATACTGAATGTTTATATTATGGGTATTAGGTTTCAGAATCAATAACTCATGGAGTTTTACTTGAGTATGTCAATACCATCTCAGGACTATAGTTTTAGGCCATCTATGGAGTAAACAAAATAGAGATGCATTCATTTCAATTTATTTCACATTCAAGAAGTTTTTTTCAACCGTAACTGTTAGAAACTTAGAGACAGTCCCTCAGTGCAGGCCATCTGCCTTGTACTGAAGCATTAGTGGAATCCTCGAGTGGCATTGTTCAGTGGCCTAAAATGACTGAAGGCATCTCTTGTCCTGCTATCAGTGTAACATGGAATGGCCAGGATATTGTCCAGGTTGGATATTAGGAAAAACTATTTCACTAGGAGGGTGGTGAAGCACTGGAATGGGTTATCTAGGGAAGTAGTGGAGTCTCCATCCCTAGAGGTGTTTAAGTCTCGGCTTGACAAAGCCCTGGCCGGGTTGATTTAGTTGGAATTGGTCCTGCCTAGAGCAGGGGGCTGTACTTGATGACCTTCTGAGGTCTCTTCCAGTTCTATGATTCTATGAATCAGAAACTGAATAAGGATAACAATTATTTATTGCCAGAGCACTTTCACTTTCACATACTGATTTTCACAGAGCAGTGTTTTAGATAGACACTCATATTTTGTATGTTCTCCTGGAGCACTCTTCATTGTCAAAATGCTAATGGAAAATAGTCCTGGAATGGTATTACATGAAAATCCTTTAAAACCAATAAACTTTTTTTCTGAGAGTTCCCAGGTTATCCTGTGACAAATGGGTGAAAAGTAATGCAGTGTGAAAGAACAGTGTTCCTGTTAATGATGTACAGCATGTGGTTAAGGGTTGCTATGCCATGTTGGACACATATCGCACCACAGTATTTCTCCACCAGCTCTGTTGCCACCACACATTGTTACAGTGTTACTGGAGGCTTCACTTACACTATAACTTGGTTTTTTGACATGTACTTGCTCAATTAAATTCAGGATATGAGAGTCAGGTTCTGCATGTACTCCCGGTAACATGCCAAAGACCTCTTCCTTCCTTTGAAAGGTTAAACAAATATGGTAGTCTAATGATAACCACATGCTTAGAACTATTCAAGCTCAATTAAAGCAATGAATAAGACTTGGTACTGAGTGCTGCTGTTTAAATACAGTGCTTCTGCTCCTGTGAGATGTTAATGGGAAGGTACAGTATCTCGTGTGCATCATTGAGAAGAGCAAAAAAAGTCACTCTCTCTAGAACAGTGTTTCTCAAAATGGTCCATGGATCCACTCAGAGAAACCTGCCAACTGTCCACTCCGGTTTGTTTATTTACCGACTCTGCAGCCACTAATCCCAGGGCTTCCATTGGCTCTGGTTTGCTCTTTGTAACCAAGGGGAGCTGCAGGAAGCTGCATGGGCCAGGCTGCTGTTTCCTGCAGCTCCCCTTTGCTGCAAATGGCGACCCGGAGCCAATGGGAGCTGCAAGGCTGCGGGGCTGCTAAATAAATAAACCAGAGCAGCCAGTTAGCAGGTTTCTCAGAGTAGATCCATGGACCGCTTTGAGGTTGTGTCTAAACTATATTGCAAATGAAGCCAGGATTTAAATATCCCACACTACATTTGCATAATGGTGGCTGCTGTTTTTTTCGAAACGGGGCTTTTTAGAAAAAAACCCGGCAGTTTAGATGGGGCATTTTCGACAGAAATGCCCTGTTTCGAAAGATCCTGTACTCCTCTTTATATGTGGCAAGGAGTCCTGTGGCACCTTATAGACCAGTGGTCCCCAACACGGTGCCCACGGGCGCCATGGCACCCATGGGGGCATTTGTGTGCACCCGCCAAGTGCTTGGGGCTGGCCTGGCCCCGGGCACGTGGCACATGCATGGTGCCGGAGCCGGCCCTGGGCGCAAGGTGAGCGCCGTCCTCGGGAGCGCCGTGGATTGGCCGCCCGTGCTCTGGGCGCACGGCGCTTGGAGGGGGTGCCGGCCCCGGGCGCACGGCACTT